AATTCTCAAAGTGGTGCCTTCAATTCTGAAAGTGGTGCCTTGAGACAAAAACTGAACACAGGGCTGCACATGACCCTTCGTGGCTGCTCATGCTTTTTTTGTATACAAAATCCCTCACAAGTTCTCTGCGCAAACTGCCTTCTTCCGAATCTTCCATGATCGCGAGCACGGCCGCGAATGTCGCGAAGCGTGGGGAGGGGAGCTTTCCATCTGGTGCAACAAAGGGCCGGCCGCCATGTGACGGCAAACTGACTGATCCCACTGATGCCAAGACCTTGGGACCAGGCATGATGGCATGAAACACCCCACAAAAGAAAAGTTACCAGGCAAAACAGTGTCTGGTGGTGGTGGCCTTTGCGTTTTTGGTTTTGTTTCAGTCGCTCAGCCCGATGTCAAAAATCATCCCTGAAGCCTGGCTTATTTCTGTCATCCTACTGGACCGAATCTAGAGATCAAGCAACGAATTCTGTCTTGAAGTGGTCCAAGAAGAAAGCCGCCTGAGACTCATTGAGGCCACCAATGCGAGTGCTGTATGTCAGAGAAAAGTCCTTGATGCTAATCCGCTTCGGAAGCTTGGTCTCAAACTCAGACTCCTTCTCTGATTTCTTCTTTTTGTCCTTTTTCTCTCGATCCTTGAGAGGCGTGAACTCAAAGTTTCCTGGCACCACTGTCGCAGGGTCAAAGCCGCGGCATGAAGACAAAGTGACTGCGTCCATGCTTGTGGTGTGGGCGCCGTGTGCTCCACAGAGTGGCTGTGAACCACAAGACTCACAGAGCTCACAAAACACAACTGGTTCCAAACAGTTCAAGTAACAAGGAAATCAATCAAAATGCCAGAAGCTGACCACTCACAGAGTCAAAGGTTGCAACCACTCACAGAGTCAAAGGTTGCAACCCCGAGGACACAACCGGCCCCACATGATTTCCGGCCTGGTGTTCCAAACTTCGGAGCCCTGGCCGTGTGGGACCCGGAAGCAGACCGAGGAAACATAACTGCGGAACGATCACAGCCATGGTGTTCTGTGCTTGAGATTATCTTCACTCACACCCTGGCCTCGACCCGGCCCTCCACAACAAAACAAAGAAAAACACACACTCTGACATTTGTTTTCTGTTAACTCAATTCCCAGGACAAATGGCGATGGAACCGAAAGGTGGAAGGGTCGGAGCACTTGAAGATGTTTCAAAAATGGTTTTTTGCACATCTGCAGTTCACAAACGCGCAGCAGCTGAAAGCGGCGGAAGGAAAAAGGTTTAGGGGAAGTATCATGGAACCACCATGGAAACAAACGTTCAAAAAAGTCGCAGGTACGCCAGACTGATCAGGTCTGGTTTCACTGCCAATTGCAAGCGTCTTTGTTGGCAGGAGATTTGCAATGGCACTCCTGCCCCCTGCAGAAGTTAAAAATCCGGAAAACGACTCAAAAGGAGACCCTTAGGTACAGGGGTTGACACACCAAGCATCCTAACTTGATAGGCGACACGCAGGCTTGGGAGTATCTGTGGTGCTCTTGACCGCCCTGCCCACAACCAGAGTTAAGAGCACCAGGATTAATTATCCTGGTGCTCTTAACTGTGACCACAATCCCAAAAGTTGGAGGCCGTGACACAAAATAGAAGTTAAAGGTGCCACGGACTAATGCTGCAGCAAACACAGATCTACCGGCAAACCGGTTAAGAGCATCAGGATTAATTATCCTGGTGCTCTTAACTCTGGTTGTGGGCGGGGCGGTCAAGAGCACCACAGACATCTGACTCCACATGATTTCCCGCCTGGGGTTTCAGGCTTCAGAGGTGGTGGCCTTGGTAACCACAAGTTCACTGACAGAATTGAAGAACACCTGCGCAATATGTCCAATGATTTTCTTTCACCCCCACATGGCATGCTGACTGGATACTTTTTTCTGTGGCCACAGCGCCCCACGCTCTAGGCCTCATGTGCTCTGGGAAACAAAGACATGGCTGCCCTGCCTCAAACTACTGAGCTTCCAAACAAGAACCCTAAACACAGTTCTATTGCTCATGGTTCGCCAAAATGAGAGCAGCTAGCTCTTTGCAAAGCTGCTGGGGATACTGGCCACTCCACACGGTCTTGCGAAGCCCATGTGCTGAATGGCGCCCGCTGAAATGCCCTTCCAAGCGGGCATGTTTGGTCCGCCTCGTGCCCTGGCAAACACAGGGACGAAGCAAAGACTGCAAATTTCGATTCGACATGAACCCCTGGCACTTCTGGATTGGACGCCCGCTGTCTGGGCAAATCATTCCCCACGCACAAGAAGGGAAAACAAAGCGCTGAAACCTTCCAGTCAGCAAGTGCTTGACCTCTTTCACTTCCCAGGAGGCAGCCCTCTTTGGCTGTTCGAAGCTCGCTGCCCGGCCTTGCCGGTCTTGCTCGTCACAGACATGTGCCGCAAAGGAAACTTGTGCCGTGGCATCTTCTTGCAGGCTCTTCCATTCTTCAATTTTTCTCCGGGCCGTGAGTCTGCCAAGTTGTGTCCAATATCGACAATCTGGGGCCGCATGGACCCATTCAGGTTCAGTCTCACAAAGCAGGGCCATAACCAACGTCTGGCCAGCGCTGGATGTCAAATCAATGCGAAGTCTGGGCAAGGAGTCAGGGTCGCCGATGGTAGAACCAATTTCTTTGCTGTCCACCCCTGGGCCGACCACAGCCCCAGGTGGGGCCTTGCGCAACACAGCCGAAGTCAAATTTCCCGAGCCACACAAAAGTTCGACAAACAACCAGCGCTCGCCAGCAGGACGCCCACTGAGCTGCAGCGCGCTTTGAGTGACGGCCCTTGGCAAGGCAACCAGAACCTTGTGCTCTTCTTCAAAGTCGCAATCCCTAAGAGCGTCCTCTAAAAGATCCTCTTTCAGTGCTCTCTTCCACCTCCCACCTTCCCCATCCAACACACGCCTTCTCTTTTTCTTTGGTTGGCTCGTGGTGTCTGTGGGCGACACACAATCAGGACACCCAGGCGCAAAGCAAGAACATGTGTTTTTGGTCGTTTTGGGGGGGCCATCTGTCAAAGGAGGTGGGCTTGGCTGGCTCGTGCTTTGCTGGCAAACAGGGCACGAAGGCTCAAAGCATGAGCAGGCTGGCAGCTTTAGTGGCGGCACCCCACCCATGACACTGGACTTTTCTTTGCCGGCCCCCTTTGCGAAGAACCACTGCGGCTGCTCCAGTTCCATAGCAACCACCTCCTCAAGGTATTGATAGCCCAGGCTGCGATACAACGCCTCGGCAAACATTGGTCCAAAAACACCATGCCTGTTGAAGTTCAGGGAGGGAAAAAAATGAAGGAAAGGTGTGACCTTCAGCCTGAAGGTTCCTGGTGGGCCATGGTTACCTACAAAAATCAGCCAACACAACTTTAGCCCCATAGAAGGACCAAGGGTTGCAGAAATATTCCTGCGAAACAGGTGGTATGTCTGGATATCCTAGGTGGACATGAGGAGCTTTGTCGGGGCCTTACATGTCCTCCTCTCCATTCCTTGCTGAAAGTATGCCATGCCAAATGATAAAGCCTGTGGGACCCTATGTAGCTGAGGGCTATCACACACACGAGACAAGTCCGCGGCCCCCCTGGGATTGTCGAGGTGTCGACCACTAGCCCAGGAACCATGGCCTTAAGTTTTAAGAGCCCACACCATGTCGAAAACAAAAATAGACTGGAAGAAACCCAGCGACATGACAGGCAGCCTCACTTGGCTCGTCAGGCACAAGGTTCTCGAAACCGATCTCCGAAACTAAGGCAGCAATGCTCGGGAAACACCTCACCGACACCAGTTTGCAAAGCAATTTGGTGTCCCTGTACTAATGGAATGCCACCATGTGCCCCGGCCGCAGCGCTTTGACATTGTTGGTCGCCGGTCGCACTTCATGTGTCTTGCGGCCGGCTGCTATCAACCTGGCATATTCCTTTCGCAACGGAAAAGAGGCTTGGACAGCTGGACACTGCCCCTCTTCTCGACCACATTGCGGGCACCCAGGCGAGCAGCAATAGCAAGACATGCGGCTCTACAAACAGAGTGTTGTTTTGGTCATGTCTGTTTGTTCAAAAAATGTTCTTGACAACATGCCCGGTCTCTCACTGACCACGCCCCACCCCTGGAGCAGGAGCAAAACCAAACATATTTTTCAAACATGTCGACAATTTAAAGTTTAACGCAAGCGCCACCGAAGGGACACAACTTGTTCCCTATTGTTGTCCGCCTGAGGTTCCGCGCATTCGGGTTCCCTTTCGCCTTTGGGCCCCTGGGCGAAAACATGAAACGCCACCAACACAGGGAAACAACATGTGAAGCCCACGCTCACAATAGCACAGGACACGAAAGAGAACGGACCGGTGGGAAAAAAACCTGAAAAGGCCGAAAGCCAGCTGCCACTTGTTCATGTGGGTCCCTGTATGGGGTCCCTGTCTCCACTCGAGTCCTCTACACCCATTGGCCACATAGTCTCCGAAGCCCTTCATGATGTCAATGATGCACTACTCGGTGTCCATAACATCACTTCTTTCACCAGGCACCATTTTCACTACTTTTCGGACCACTACTTTGGAGCGCTCTCCCCCACCAAGCTCTGGGTTCACCCTATCAAAAGATTCCGGTCAGCAACCACCCCCACACCCCCTTAACTCACTCCGTTCACCCTAAAAGCTCAAGCCTTGCCTCCCGGCTGGCATTCGTAATGAAGCCCGAAAATCAAAACAAAACTTGAGCCACAAGGCCTTCTCCTACATCAACCTCAACCTTGCGAAGTAACACGTGAAGTGTCGAGTGAACCCTCGCGACAAGAATTGGGTTGCAACCAAAAAAGGCTTGTCCGCAAACCTCTCTCACACAGGAGCCTGGCAAGAGCGCAGACCCTCCCCATGCTCCAAACATGGCTCGGGCTCAAACATGAAAACCCAAAGACGTTTCGCGGCGACCGCTTTGAAAAACTGAAAGGGGAATCAATCCAGGCATGCGAATTCAAAAAACCCTGTCATGAGCCAGGCCTCCTCTCTCGAGTTGAAAACTTCGCCAGACTTTCCTGGAGGATGGTACCTGCAACCAAAAAAAGTCGCCACAAAGCCCTCTCCTACATGAAGTCGCCACGGCCCCCTATATCTGTAGCAAAACGCCATGTTGTGTTGTACTGTTCTTGTCATACTGCATGTCTAAACTCCTACTATGTTTACAAATAGAGCCTCCTTGTTCATACTTTACCTCTAGGTAAATGATATGTAGGGTGGGCCTCGTGGTGGATTTGTTACCACAGAAGTCTGTCAAGACTAGCCCAGGGATGGCTTTCTCCGAGAGAGAGATTTTGCAAGAACAATGTTCAAAGCGATCGTTTTGAAACACACATGTGAACAAGAAGCCAGCTGAGGAAATGGTGCTTTCAAAGCGACTGTTTTGAAACAATGTGTCCAAGGAAACCCATCACATGTTTGCCTACCCCGGTACCTAGCAGTCGCCCTGGCACCCAAAACCACGGAATCCACGGAACCCGGCGACCCACATGCAAAAAGGGGCACGGTGTCCAAGTTATTCTCACTGAGATTGGCGCCTTGTGGGACCAAAAAAGGTCGCCGTAAAGCCCTCTCCTATGTGAAGCGCAATCCTTGGTGCCTGGGCACTGACGAAACACAATGTTGTGTTGTATGGTTTTGTGATCCTGAATCCTGCGCGTCTAACATCGAAACTCCTTTGTTGACAAATCCGCCGACCCCACTCGTGGGGTGAGGCGTGACTGTCGATTAAGGCTAAGGCTATGATTAAGGCTAAGGTTAAGGCTAAGGCTATGATTAAGGCTATACCTCCCCTACCCCTCCGGAGCCTTGTTGCAGTGACGAAAAGTAGCCAAGATTTGCAAGATTTGTCCAAGATTTGTGTGAGATTTGTGCAAGATTTGTGCAGGAGTTGTCCAAGATTTGTGCAAGATTTTGCCAAATGTATTGGTTTGCTTCTTACTGGGGATTGGGGTACCCTCTCCCTAAATGGTCCCGGGCTCGAATCCTGGCCTGGTTGCGGCCTGGTCCCTGCCAGTGCCCTCGGCTTTTCCTAGATTTTGCAACCTTTTCCGCTGGGCTTCTTGGATTTTCAAAGGCTTTTGTAAGATTTACTCATGCCTTTCAGGCCTTTTGTGGAGTTTTTTCCAGCATTTTCTCTGGTTTTTCTAGGTAGTTCTGTGGTTGTCTAGGGGCTCCGTGTTGTTTTTTGGGTTCCCAGATTTTCAAAGAAACACGCTAACCCATTTTCCTAGATGTTTAAACGTTTTTCGCTGGATTTCAAGGATTTTCGATGGTTTTTGTAAGATTTACTCATGCCTTTCATGCCTTTTGCAAGCGTTTTTCCATGATTTTCTCTGGTTTTTCTAGGTAGTTCTGTGGTTGTCTAGGGGCTCCATGTTGTTTTTGGGGTTCCCAGATTTTCAAAGAAAAACGCTAACCCATTTGCCGTGCTCTCTTCTGGCTACTTTGGTGATGCAGGAACAGATCATGTCTCTGGGGGTTCCATGTTGTATTTTGGGTTCCTAACCATTTGGCTGACCCCACTCATGGGATAAAGCGTCGCTGTTGATCTAGGAAAAAACCACGGGCGCTGGCACGGACCATTCCTGCCACATACACTTCCCTCGGGGTCGGCGGCTGCAGGCAATAGCCTGGTAAATACACCTCCTTATTTACAAACTACCTCTAGTCTAGGTAAATGATATGTAAGGGGGGGCCTCGTGGTGGATATGCAACCACAAAAATCTGTCAAGCCTAGCCCAGGGATGGCTCTTTCTCCGAGAGAGAGATTTTGAACAATGTTCAAAGCGATCAAGGGAAACACGCATGCGAACAAGAAGCCAGCTGAGGAAATAGCGCTTTCAAAGCGACCGTTTTGAAACAAGGTTTCCGATTCTTAAGGGGTCCTGACCCCCGCCAGTAAAGCGCTGGATGGCGACCCTGGCACCCAAAACCACAGAATGCAAAAAGGGGCACGGCGTCCAAGTTGTTCTCAATGAGATTGGCGCCTCATGACACGGCCAATGAAAAGAACATGTTATGGCCTGATGCGCTGCCAAATTCCAGCGCTAATTGTTTGATAGAACCGCGTAAGCTGAGACACACTCCCTTGTTTTCTGAATGACTACCACACCAGCAGCCGCAGTTAAGGAGCCCACCATTCCGAAGTTCCGCAGGGACACGGGGTCCTGGCAAGGAAAAACACTGGGGGATGGTAGAGCCGTTGTTCTGTTTTCTATTGGCTGTGGTAAATTGACCCTGGCTGGTACAGGAAAATGCCTTTCCCTGCATGACATTACAGCGCGACATCAACTGAAAAAGAACCCCAGCACACCCGCGCGCAGTAAAGCCTCGCAACCCACGCTTTTGGCGCGCCATAAGTTCCGGGGAGTGTCACACCAAGGGCGGAACTGACACTCACCGCGAGTGCTGACATGGGCTTTGCGTCGCCTAAGCTAGCGCATTTGGGGCTCGGGCGCATGGCGACAAATTTTTGGCAAATATGTTCCAACCACACATTTGGAGCGGTCAGGAAAAGTGTGCCAAGCCCTAGAGGGTCTAACTCATTTCCACGCGAGTATAGTATATGGTTCGCGAATAAGGGGTACTATGCATGGCACATTGCCAGGATAGTTTATTGTTGGGACACGGAACCCCGAGAAGCAGCTGTCTCAAGAAGCGGCTGAGCGAGGTGTCCAGCAACAAAGGCCCAGGCCAGGAGCAACTGGACATTCATCAAACCTCCAGTAAAGCGGGCGCTCTAGCAGCTTTTACATCTGCACCCTGGGAACACTCACCTGTGCTCTGAACAGGCTAACACATACACATATGACCCCAGCTTCCCTTGTAGCAGGTACAAGTACAGGGAACTTCCGGCTTTCGAAAAGTCTCTGGATTGATCAATGAATCCGTATATTATACTGCGAGGTGAACACAGCTACTTACATGGTAGCCGAAAGTTTGCCTTCCGCTTTTTGGAGTGTCTTTCATGTGTTGCGTGGTGTTGTATGGTAAAAACAGGCGGGTAGTACATCTAAACATGCAAACTTCTTCTTGGACAACTAGCCTGACAGACAACCAGTGTTCCTCACTGCAGGCCCAGCTGCATGCAAAGGGCAGTTTCGGACTGCCTAAAACATGGTTGCGCTCGACCTTTCTTCCCAGTCACCTGGCGGCAAAAACCACGGCTACAGAGCAAATGTTCCCTGTGAGACCACACTGACTGTCAATCATGGTGTCTGGTAAAACAGGAAGAGCTTTCTAGTATACTGAGATGAACCTGCAATTGGAAAGTTCTTGTAAACTCTGTAGGTCAACAACAAACAGGGCATGATATCTCCCGCTTCTCGAGCAGTGGGAAAGAGCGTGGTATCTTTTCTGCTGCAACCAGGCTCCCTGACGTCCCGGACGGGACAGTTCAAAAAGATCCAGCTGAAAAGATTTCAGCCAGCCACACCAAACACGGCTCAGGCGAAGCCATCCCTTCGCGCCCGCTTCTCGGCTCTGGCCCTGATCAAATCATCTACAATTTTCTTTTTGCGCTCCACCGAGTGTTTCTCCTCCTCCAGTTCCTGCAATCGTGTCAGCAGTGTCAGGGCATCGTTCTGCAACGCTTGAAGCTCAAACTCATCCCTGGCACGGGGAGATGGGTGGACAGCAACAATCCAAACACAACAGGGTATTCTTTAGAAAGCTCAGCGATCGGTTTTGTTAAGCTGCGGACCACAAAAATAGCTTTAGTTATTACTTCCTTTAATCCTTTCTTGTGGCGGGCTTGATCGAAGCAAAGCGCAAACAATGAAGATAAGTCATATGGGGAAATCTGGACCTCGCCTTCCGCTGTTCAAAGCAGTGAGTGGCTGGGGGTCGCCAGCAGAAATTTCCATCATGCACACGCGCGTCGTGGCAAAAACAGCCAAGTCCAGCAAGAGCGGAAGAACGGCAGATCCCTGCCCAGGCCCGTTCACCAGCCAGTGGTCACAAAGTGTGCTCTCGAATCGTGTGATCTGAGTGAACTTCAGCACCTTTCAGGGAGGATGGCAGTGAGAAGCCGGAGCGAAAATTACCAGGGAAGCCAGAAACACTAAGACTATAGGAAGTGAAGAAAAGCCAGTCCCAAAGTCGTATCATGATACCTGACCTCTGTCTTCCGCAAGACTTCCGGCTTGACCTTGATCTCCATGACCTTGACTTGAAGTTTGGCATTCTTGCTTTGCAGCACTGCCGTGATAACGGCGGCGTGCTGCGAAGAAAACAGAATTGCCATTTGTTTGTAGACCTCCGGATTTGCATCCTTGGTGTTCGTGGCCATGAACTGTCCAACCTGGAGAGGAGCAAGACCACACTCGTCGCTTTCGGACTTGGACACAAGCATGTAGAGTGTCCAAGACGCCGTCTCCTCACTGGACTGCATGCTCTTCAGGACCGTCTCTTCTGTGGATGCCACCTTAGGCGCTCACATGCGCTCACCCTCTTTTCGCGTTCGCTTCGGCCGAATCTTGCCGCGTCAGCGAACGAGTGCAACAAGAACGCACGACCAATTTTCAACAAACCATGTATGAAAATACGCTGTTGCAAGGAACCAATGCCTAAGCATCAGTAGTTGAAAACCCACCTAATGTTGAGCCATCTCTTGGCGAAACTTTCCGCTCGCTAGTGTGCAAATAGATGCGTGCATGTGAAGGGTCAGCATATATACCTCTACATATATGGTAGATATGTGTGCAGTATTTGTAAAACGAAAGAGAGTACGATGCCCTGGAGGTGTGTTTTTTCAGTGTTTTTTTGCGTTTTTCTATGATTTTCAATAGATTTTCTATGTTTTCGTTGCATTCACCCATCTGGTACACATCACTTGTGCCCATAGCCTGCTGCCCCTTTGCCATGATCTTATCAACAGATTTCCTCATCAAGCTTTTAAACACATAGCTAAAGTCTGTATCTGTCAATTGCATCATAGCTGTCATCTTTGGAGGAATGATAGACTGATGGGCTGCATACATCTTCTTGTATGTATCATCGCTAAATGAAGCAGCAAAGCAATCCCTCTGATAGATGGATACTGGATACATCCTCCCTTGCTTTGCAATGACCCATGACATAAAGATATTGTCCTGACTGGAGGATGGTTGGGAATAAACATCATAGTGCTCCAACAAATGAGGATGACCCCTTCTGATCTTGACCCATTGCTCCAATGCCCTCCTGGCACTCTCTCCCTTCCTATGCAGCTTGATGTCTCCCAAATAGTTAAATGATTCATCCTCAATCCACCTGCCTTTGTCATCAGTGTAGTCCAATCTTGCATATTGCCCAGATACTATGAGCGCCCCCTTGCCCACATGTCCAATGGGGTCCTCATCAGGGTTGAAGAAATTGCTCACCAGCTGATGGGCCTCAAAGGTAATCCTCATCTTCTCAGTTGCTGAGTCCGTCATGATAGTCAAATGAGCTCTTCCCCCACCCTTTTGATCCTCAGTGGTCACCAATTGCCAATCTTGCTTCGTCTGATCATCCAATGCCTCAAGGTCCTCATTGGGTTCCTGTCTCATGGGCTTGTTGGTTCAGCTCCTCTTGAAGGTCCCTCCTAATCTTTTTGATGGTCTTCCCATGTGTCCTGGTCTCATGGCCTGCAAATACAGCCTTAGTTGATCCCTTTTTCACCCATACAGGAACCTGATCTGAGAATCCAAGCATACATTCAGGCTTTGCCGCAAATTCCTTCAGATCTTCATGGTGCATGGACACAAGGCTCATGATATAGTCATGGTGGTTCCATGCCAATTCTGCTGAAATCTGCTGCTCCTCATTGCTCAAGGGCGCCAACGCATTTGGAGTCATATGTTTGGCACCAATAGCATCCATAAGCATCTTGGCCCTCTTGTCCCTTTGCTTATGCCCCTCTTTGATGCTCTTCATTTGGGATTCAGCCCTTTCCAATTGATTGATACAAAGAATCTTCTGGGGCCCATCTTCCAGCTCATCCCTTTTCTCCTCAAGCTTGACTTTCTCCACTGATAGCAGCTGAAAATATTTCCATGCAAGATCCATCTTCTGCACCCCATGCCCATAACTCCTTTCCCTTTCCAACCATGTCTTAACCTCACCAACCAAGTGGGGGAATTGTTGCTTGGCACCCCCACCTGATGCCCTGACTCTCATGTGGTTCCCACCTGATGCTTTCTTCCCTTGCTCAATCCACTCCTTTGCGTTCTCTCATCTGCTGTTGTGCTTTGCTGATGCTTCAGAATCTCTGTCTCCCATTTGGACCTTTCAGCATAAATCCCCTTCAACACATGAGGTCTCATCAGGATTGTCCTATTCCATTTCCTTGCGCGTTTTCCTGTCTGATTCTTCCGTACGCTCTCCGTTTCGGGGGGGGGTCGGCCAAACAAAAATGGTGCTGCCTCAAATCAAGGCCACCAATTTGTTTTTTTTGGTCGACCCCCCCCCCTCTGGGAAACTCTGTGCGGTCCATGTCGGCGACGCTGGCGACATTGCGATGTCTATGCGATGTCTGCTACTGTGATGTGGCGCGTGATGTGACAGTATCCTTATACATTTTATCCTTAAATAAGAATACCTCCAGCACATAGATAGTAAATTCGTAAGAAGACTAGAACACTGGGAAAACAGACACCTCCACAACGTCGTGTTCTGGAGAAACGAAACACGCATGTATGTACATGTACATATAGTAAAATATGGGAATATCAACCTATACAAAGACGGGCCAAGGCACTTGCAATGTAGCTGGCCACCACTCGCAGGTGCAAATTGAAGTCTCCATCAGACCTAGCTGGGCCTCCCCTTCCATGTCGGGGCCGAAGTGACATTCATGCAGCTGCAAGGTGTCATTCAGCATCCGTAGTTTGTGCCCCTGCGTTGCCCCGCTCTCCGACAGAGAAACGGAAAGCAAAACCAAGCTCTCTGTGTACAGCTCTGCCGCAAGCTTCCGTGGCTGGCGTTTGTGCTGCATGGACACGGAAAGCCCCAGCTGAGGTGCTCGATTGCACATGCTCGCCTGTGTCTGGCCCGTTTCAGCCCCATGAGTTAAAATCACATGCGCAGACCTGCAGCTGAAACACCCAACATCCAACTATGTAGGCGTGAAAAGAGTGAGCGGGAGTAAGAAGCGTGTAGAAAATTTGAAGACTGTATTTAAAATAACAATCGTGCATGATGTAAGCGGCCGAGGAGCCAACGCTGCCGACTCTGGGTCTGCAGAAAAGACAGGCCTCTTCATGCGAACTGGAATCTCTCTCTCATAGTCAGCCTTCATTTCCTGCCAGGCTTTAACCGGGATGGCTAAGAAGTATCTCAGCGCCATGGCAAAAGAATCCACGAAATTGAAAGGACAGGGTGCCTGAGCGAAAACAATGGGCTGCGCCAAATCAGCCTGGCAATAGCTTCAAGAAAACTGTAACAGTTGACAACAAAGCTGACTGCCACCGAGGGTTTTGCAAGCTGGCTCTAGACTGGAGAGGGAAAAGGGCGCAAACAACAGCCTGCCCCTGCCAGGCCCCTGCCTGCCTCAAGAAAGAGACCGCGGCCATCGCCTGACCAAGACCCTCTTTCTGACTGAGCACCATCAACCGAAACGCGACTGTTCCAGCTACATTTAGTATGCCAGCCTCTTATAAACTAGTCTTTTCCTACCCACCAAAAATCCTCTGCTCCGACACCGATCCTTACAATGTTCTGCAAGGAAAGAATGGCAAGAGAAAAGGCTAAAGCGACCATCAAAAGCATATAGGGCCTAAAGCACGCCCACACATGCATACACTTGTTCCTAGTAGCGACGCCAGGAGCCTCTAGTAGCGTCCTTGTTCCTAGTAGTGGTGCCGGGAGGCCCTAGTACCATCCTTGTTCCTAGTAGCGATGCCAGGAGCCCCTAGTAGAGTCCTTGTTCCTAGTCCCTGCCAGGAGCCCCTAGTAGCGTCCTTGTTCCTAGTAGCGATGCCAAGAGCCCCTACTACCGGCCTTGTTCCTAGTAGCGATGTCGCCTGAGATTCTGAACAACCTATTCACAGCCAGAAGGTCAAAACCACATGTGCACTTCTTTCACCCCAGATCTTGCAGCTTTCATTTTCCCCGCGATTTGTGACAAAATCTAGGGCGCCACCAGGTCCTCGACCAAGCGTGGCTGCTGCCAAGGGTCAGCCGCAGCAAATGCTTGCAGCTGTGCTTCCATGAAAAGATCTCGAACCTGCAGGAAGCGAAAGAAGGATGATATAACATAAACGATAAATATATATATATATATGGGGGTTGTTCATGGTTGTTCTATACTTAGGTGCAGGGCGTAATGCTGGAAAGCTCTTGCCCTTGCGCCTTCTTGCGCCTGTAAGGTTTTTGCATATTTTGTACAGTCTCATTGGTTTAGTAGTAGTCGTCGTCGTAGTAGTAGTAGTCGTCGTAGTAGTAGTAGTAGGTAGTCGGTAGTTCGTAGTTAGTAGTAGTTAGTAATAGTAGTAGTTGGTTAGTTGGTTAGTTGGTTAGTTAGTTAGTTAGTTAGTTAGTTGGTTAGTTAGTTAGTTAGTTAGTTAGGTAGTAGTAGTAGTTGTTGTTGTAGTAGTGGTAGTAGTAGTAGTAGTAGTCGTTAGTATCAGTAGTTAGTAGTTAGTAGTTAGTAGTTAGTGGTGGTAGTAGCTACTACCACTGTAGGAGGTGGTAGTAGTAGTAGTAGTAGTAGCAGTGGAAGTAGTAGTTGTAGCGGCAGTAGTACTAGTAGAGATATGTATATATATATATAAACCTTGCGCTCGCCCTTGCGCCTGCTTGCGCCTACCAGGTAAAAACAACCAAAGAAGCGATCAATCTTTCAGACATGTCCTCTCTAAAGCCTGTCTCTATCTCCCATATATATATATAAAGATACACACAACTTCCAGAGCATTATTGTGAATGCAAAATGTCACAGCCAAGAAAAGACCTGGAGCTTGCGGTTGAGGTCCTCCGTCTCCCATGGTACTATAAATCTAAAAATCCTGACCCGGCAGGCGAACAACACCAAAACTCCGGATCAATCACGGCGCGGACGCCCCTCAAAAAACAATCTCCCAAAATTGCAGGAATGAGAAATTGAAGTGGCCTCCTTCGGTCCAGGGCTGGTAGCCATTGAAGTGCACCGGTGCGATCTGAAGGCTGCACTCCGGAAGTGCGCAACTAATTCTTGAGCACCACCAAAATGTTCTACTTGGTGATGGAATGCAGCAACATTGCTCAGGTACCAGTCACCGGGATGCTGGTGCAAAACGAACTGCAGGGTTTTAGAAACCGTCACACTACCGAGAGCCGCAAAAAACCGAGGAGATTCAAAAGCATTCTAGCAGCTGCAAGAGCGTGGACAAAGGAAAGGTCAGAGCAAAAGCTTCTCCCAACCCCCAACTGCTTTTGCCATTAATGTTTTTGGCCCTGGCCTTCTCTCCGCTTGCCGTTTCCCAATGTAGAGCTCGGTGACCGTGCAGCGTGATGCTGAGATGTAACACCCCAGCCCCTCCATCCACATGTCGTCGGTCTTTGCGCTGCAAAGCGTCCATTTTCTGAACGCTGCCGAAGCAAAGCCCCCAATCCACAGATGGTTGTCGGCACAGGTGCTGGGCATTGGCATCCTCATGCCTTCCCAAACGGCGGCCCAACTCATCATCAAAACGGTTGAAAAAAGGCTGGTTCAGTGCCTTGAACGCGGCCACCCACTTTCGAAGACGCTCTGGCAACAGAGCTCTCTTGATCTTCACTGTGTTCAAGACATCTGGCGCGTCAGGACAACACTTGCCAAAGAACTCATGCTTGACCACCTGCTTCTCATACTCCTCCGTTTGAAGAGATTCCGGCGGCCAAGAGGCCGCTTCCAAGCTGGCAGTGTCTGGATCTTGCTGCAGCCACTCCAAAACCTCAATAGGGCATGACCCCACCAAAATCTGGAAATCACCACGTACCCCTCTGAACTTCTCTGTCCAGTGGTGGCAACCGGGGAGGATGACTTCAGGCATGGCCCGCAAAACATCGTTGACTCGCGGTCGCTTCAAAGGGTCCAAAGAAAGGAGTGAAGCAACCAAAGAAGAGAGCCGACCACCAAGCTCCTGTGGCAAATCCAACTGCTTAGGTTCGACACGTGGAAACTCTGCGCTCCAGTGTGGCCAGGCCACCAAAGAATCGTCAAACCCCAGGCGGGTCAAAATCTGGAAGATCATTGCCTGGCATCTGTCTGCTGCCAAAAGGAAAATCTAGGCGCCCGTTCGGGCACACAAACATGACCACTCAACTCCCTCTTCGTGATTGCCAGAGACAAACAAATTCAGAATGCAAAAATGTTGAGGAAAAGCCATCCCAAATGCTGGTATGATATCCTGGAAAAACTACAAACCAAGGACCAAGGTGTTCACAATGTCCGCCTATAGTAGCAAGGTCCATTTGAGCAACATGGCAAATATGATCTCCCAATCTCCCACACCATGAAAAAATGATTAAAGACAGCACCGAGGTTCCACCTCCGAACCTTCAGACTGAAAGACCTTGAGCCCCTGAGACAGCTCGGCAACAGTGCAGCCAAGGGCCCACATGTCAATGGAAGGAGAAATCTTGCGGGAACCCAGCAGAAGCTCAATGCTCCGATACGACAAAGTGACAAGTTTATCCTCCGGGTCGGCGTCCGCTTCCCACTCAAAGCAAACGCTGCCCACATCAGCCACCTTGCAAAGCCCACACTCTGGAAACCAAAGCAAATTTGCGGGCTTCAAGTCGGCATGAACGATCTGCAGGCTGTGCAGGACAGCTAGGCCTCACCAGGCATGACAAAACCAATCAAAACGGGGGCAGCCCTGCAGCACATAAGCAACAGAGCTGAGAAGAACCAGAGGAAGAACGAGAAGAACGAAGGACGAAAGAAGTAATAATAATAGTAGTAGTAGTAGTAGTAGTAAAGTAGTAGTACTAACCTCGAGTTGCTAATCATAAAGTAACGCCACCCAAAAGTAATATTTCTGTATCACATGGTTACAGAGAATAGTTAGCAACCACCATGTGCCAGATAGGCAAGCAGGCTTCCAACCAGGCGGCTGCATAGTGGGGCACGCATTCGCATAGAAAGACTTTAACAGCTGGCGGGCAGGGTTTTAGACAACCAAGGAATTAACTTGAAAACAGCTGACTACTTTTTATTACAGGAAGAGCTGACTGCTTTTGGGGGGGGCATCTGTTTTTAGTATTGGTGTGGCGCCAGTAACCTTATAAATCTAGACCCTCCCCTGTAGCTTGGCACTTCGGACCCACGGTTTCCAAAGGTGCGGTTTTGTAATGTTACTAATTATTTGGGGGTGGTGGGCTTTCTCATAGCGGGTTTACTAATGATTATATATAGGTTTGGAACCTGTACCTTTTCAATTTTGTCTCTGTTCCAGGGGGCTCCTTGAAGCGCGGTCGCTCCTTGCAGCGCGGTCGCCCCCCTATACTCAGCAGTTGCCAGTGGGCCCGGAAACCGGGGAAGCCCTTGAAATGGTTGATTTTTTGATATTTTTTGCATTTTTGATACGAGTTTAATAAAGGATACAGTGAATTTAGTGGTCTTCCTTGCTCATCTGGTGTTCTCGCTTGTATTTGGGGGACGTGTCTGGGAACCCTTGTCTTGCATGTGGAATGACAAATGAGCCTGCGTGCGACTGTTGAGCCTCGCACCTCGACAGCAGTGCTCCATGATCACCTTCAGCCGGACAGGCGCGACCATGGTCGGCAGAGCTTCCCCCAACTCAAAGACCAAGCCTTTCTGATGAACATCCACAAGCTGAACAATGTGTGGAGATCGGGCCGCGCAAAGAATGTCCACCTCTGCGCAGATAGCTGCAACGTCCTTCTTGCGCTTCCTGGGCTGCACATGCAGCGGCCCAAAGGGTATGTTCAAAAAGGTTTCTTTAAAGAACACGACCTCGCAGGAGCACAAACTGAATCGTTCTCATGGACATCGGTGTGTTGGGGGCAATAATCCGGATTCCAGGCACTCCTGAGTATAATGATGAACACTCTACGCTCTGCCTTTCAGGGTGCTGAAAAAAGATGGAACCCACGAACCCGAATGCAAACACGTTCGAAAAACTACATATGTCCAAATGACACTCTTGTGGGACACTCTTGTGAGACACTCTTGTGGGACACTCTTGTGGGATACTCTTGTAGGAAACTCTTGTGGGTCACTCTTGTAGGACACTCTTGTGGAACACTCTCACAGGACACTCTTGTGGGACACTCTTGTGGGACACTCTTGTGGGTCACTCTTGTAGGAAGCTCTTGCGGGGCACAGTTTTGGGACACTCTTGTAGGACACTCTTGCGGGACGCTCTTGTAGGACACTCTTGTGGGACACTCTTGTAGGACACTCTTGTGAGTCACTCTTACGAAGCACTTTTGTAGGACACTCTTATAGGACACTCTTGTGGGTCACTCTTACGGGACACTCTCTTGTGTGAGACACTCTTGTAGGACACTCTTGTGGGTCACTCTTGTGGGACACTCTTGTGGGACACTCTTGTGGGACACTCTTG